ATATATATATATATATCGAGACACAAAGACAAAAAATTAATGTATCATCTGTTTTTGTGTGCCATATGCTAATCGCTCTCTCTTTATCCCCTCTGCCTTGTAGGTCTGCCCCGTATTGACTTTCGTTCCATCACAGTCCCAGGCACCTCTCCATCAACCAGTCAGCGTGGAGCCATAACGCCACCACAACAGGCTTCGCAGCCACTGCAGCAGCAGCAGCAGCAGCAGCGGGCCACCCAAACTAGCAGCAGCAGCAGCAGCGTGCTACACAACCTTCCACGCCAATGGCCTTCCGGGGTTCCTCTCCTCAGGGGCTGGACGATCCTGCCTTACTTCAGCAGATGCTGCTATCCAATCCACACGAGCTTTCACTCCTGAAGGAGCGAAACCTGCCACTTGCTGAGGCCCTCCTGAGCGGAGACTTAGGTAAAGAAATGACATCCGTCACATGCCTTGATTTGGGTTTATGGCCTTTTACCTCGAAATGAATCATTAACATTAGTACAACCGGCTATTTCTTCAGAGCGTTTCACCAAAGTGCTGCAGGAGCAACAGCAGGATCGAGCCAAGAGAGAGCAAGAGAGGATCAGACTTCTAACTGCTGATCCTTTTGATTTGGAAGCCCAAGCAAAGATTGAGGAGGACATCAGGTATGGTTGAGAGACTGCAGAGTGTGTTGCCCATTTGTGAATATTCATAACCCAACAAGCGATATTCCTCAGTTTCACAGGCTCAGTCTCACTTGCCACTCAGATCTTATGCAGTGTGATATTATTTGTGATTTTCATGAATTTCACCGTACTTTGGAAGTAAAAAGAGAAGGCAACATGTCCACTACTGTACATATATGAAACATGTTTTCATTTTTTTTTTAATTCAAGTCTATTTCCTTTGGATTTGCGAACATTCCAGGCAACACAATGTGGAAGAAAACATGACCATTGCAATGGAAGAGGCCCCAGAAAGCTTTGGACAAGTGGTTATGCTCTACATTAACTGCAAAGTCAATGGCCACCCTGTGAAAGCTTTTGTTGACTCAGGTAATGAGAATTAAATATTGATCCCGTTTGTAGCTACAGTGTTTTTTTGGGAAATGAGTCAGAGCGATATTAACATCCCGGTGTGCAGTGTACCATTGTGGTTTAGTTTCAGTGCCTCAACCAATACCTACTTTGTATAAGCAGTCAGTCAGGCAGCCCCTCACTGTCCTCTTCTGTATCAGCCTCAGTGACATTCAGACTTAAACCCTTGTTTATTTCTTCTCACCCACTATTTCAAAATTTTATCTTAAATGATGTCAGTTTGGGCTTGTTTTACTGTCACTGAATTGCTTGTAGTCTTGCATATACCATCATCATTATAATTTTATAGCAAAACCATGATTAGAGCCAGTTAAGTTCATATAGCGGGTGTGGGTTGGCATGAAAAAGGGTGTTGTTAACTTTAATATAGGTGAGTTCTCAGACTAAGTATGAGCATGTTGGATTTCTTCTTCAAACCACCTCCTCGCAGCTAAGGTAGTTTTAAAACTCTAAGGTCAGTTGACAATAAGGCAGCAATTCTAATCAGATGCTGGACCCACCTCAACTATGTCCTTTAAATGTAGCAGATCAGAGGTTATAATCTGAGCTCTTTTTGTATATCCAAACTCCTCACCCTGCCCCTAAAGGTGACCCCACACACCCTGACAGATCAGTTTCACCTGCTTGAGTATGTGATTTTATTCCCCTCACAATCTTTAGAAAACATTTACGGAAACAGATATGGAAGAGGAGCCTCGTTCTGGAGCACAGTATTCTGATATACTTGTTACCCTATTTGCATTTATGCAGCATTGTGTTCCCATCTTCATTGCATAGGGCATTTTTGATTTTTGGTTATGATTACACATTTTATAGAGCCAGATGTTCCTTATTTTTAGGAGCTCAGATGACCATCATGAGCCAGGCGTGCGCTGAGCGCTGTAACATCATGCGACTGGTGGACCGACGCTGGGCTGGGATCGCCAAGGGAGTGGGCACCCAAAAGATCATTGGCAGAGTGCACTTGGGTTGGTGTCAGGTTGCGCAGCACTGTACTTTAACTAAAGCAAGTCCAGAGTTGTTCACAGAAAACATTAAGATATGACAAGTTTTTCTGTGACTCTGCAGTTATGACTGAAACTGTGTTGTCTTGTTGCACTCATCTAGCTCAGGTCCAGATAGAGGGGGACTTCCTTCCTTGTTCTTTCTCCATTTTGGAGGACCAGCCAATGGACATGCTGCTTGGCCTGGATATGCTGAAGAGACACCAGGTGTGAGCCCCTTTTTATCTGAGCACAGTGTGCAGTACAGTATCAGACTGGAATGGGTTACATAATACTGTTCACTGTATACTACAAGACGGGAAAGAAAAATGACACGGTTCATTTTTTCTCTTCTTTTTTTCTTTGGTAGTGTTCGATTGACCTGAAGAAGAGCGTACTTGTGATAGGCACTACCGGCACCGAAACTCGCTTCCTCTCTGAAGCAGAGCTGCCAGATTGTGCCCGACTTGCATATGGAGCAGAGGGGCGTGAAGACGTCCGCCCAGATGAGATAGCTGACAGAGAACTGGCAGAAGCACTTCAGAGGTCAATACAAGAAAGTGGTAAGCAGAAAGCCTCTCGTCTCTGCACCTCAGCTTGTTTGTCACTGAGCTGTTTCCAGCTCGATCAGATTCACATTTGCATGTGCCACTTAAAGCTTCTTACTCTCAACCCCATTTATGCAGACATCTGACTTTTGAGTCACATGATCATCTCATGTCATTGCCTCAGCAAATTAAATGTGGTTTAGAATGAGATGAGGTCAGGAAACTGAAAGCTGTCAGGCAACTCTACGGGAACACATTAAAAGAAGGTAAATAAGATCAAGCTTCTAAGGCTTAATGGGAAATATTCATGATTTGAAAATGTATTTCTGCATCATAGTTTTTGTGAAAGAACCTCATTAGCAACTTGTATCATTGTACAACAGATGCTGATACTCCATTAGCAGGCATAAGACAGAGTATGATGTTGGTGGTTTAGAAACGCCCTTCTTTACTTTGGAAAAAAGACTTGACTAGAAGGAGCCATCAGTGATAGTCAACAATGCCAAGCATGTCTCACTGTCATTAATTCAGTGTGGACTGTTAAATATAGTCCGATTCTCTGTTGGACAGCGGAACGGATAGATCTGTGAAAGAGTGGGAGAACCGCATCTACAAAAGCAAAGTGAAAGGAACATTTAGTGCTAACAGAAACGCAGGTGGTTGTTTGTATGAGCCAGTATATTACACAAAAACCAGTAAGATGTCACAGCATCACTACAAAAAGACCTTTTCTTGTGATTATGGTTGCCAAATAAAATCATAATTATGTCCAATAGGAAAAATCATAATTTTAAGAATCACATTGTGATTAAAATAGTTTGTGACTGTAAACTAAAATATCTTGAATGAGAGAAGTTGTAGAGGAAAAGCCGCTAGTGATTAACATTAGAATTACACTGCCAGAAAACTGCCTGGGTCCAAGTTACCTGCCAGACATGATGCACTTTTCATGTATATGCGTAAACAGTGACTAAAATGCCTGCAGACTATTGACCTATGAAGGATTAAACCATGAACATTACTAAGCAACCTTGATGACGCACCGTTTAACTCTGAGGGCTTAACCCATGCATGTTAAAGCAGGTGGCATTAACTCATGTCAGTCAGATGTTGTGCTTCTTTAAGTAAACATTCAGCATTGTCAAAATCATAATCGTGTGGTTCCCTTTAGTGCTTTTCAAGGCTTGTGTTAGGGCTGCCCCCTGAAAGTCAACTAGTCGAATTATCAGTCGAGAGAACTGTCAGTCAACTGAGACTTTTCTAGTGGAACTTTGATTTGATTTTATTTTAGTCATCCAGTGTGAATTACAATAGCAGGCGGCCTTAGCCCATGTTAGTTTAAGTTCATCTTCTCCTCATTTTGGTGTGCCAAGCAGCAACTTGCTCAATATCTCCCCCTGTGGGCAGGGAGGATACCCACTTCAGTGCTGCCATTGTCCGGTGCATGGATGTATTAAGGTCTGACGACACTATTTAGCAAATTTCTTCCCAGAATGAAGAGAAAAAGACAAAATCCACTAAGACAGGCCACATAAAGGCGAGATTTGTACTTTATTAGAAGTGTTTTCAAACACCGCAGACTACTTGTAAAAGAGCAAAAACTTAACAGTGCTAGTGAAATGGCCGATTTTGCATAGGTCATGTGCATCTGGTTTGTTTGCCCATCTCCGTTAAAATGTAATGCACTGTGGTTTACCGTCTGTTTCTGCAACATTCAGATGGGACTGGGAAGCTAACAAAAGGTGCTGAGAAAACATTTCCATTATAGCAGAGGCCTAAATCAGGTGACAGTTAAGGTCCTGATTATGTTATGGCTATGTGATTTTGATCAGATGTCCTACTGATGCGACCTCATTCTGGGGTTAAGTGACAGGCGGTGTGATTGTACTGTGACCTCTGTCAGGGTATGGCTGTAGGCTCAAGTTGTTAGTGGGTGATATTTTTCACATCTGTGCGTGTGAAAAGGCTGATAGGTTGGTGCATGCCCTGTGTGTGACTGCTAACTTTTTCCGTCCCTTTGCATGATGTGTGTGTTGTGTGCCCTAACCCCTGAGCAGGACAGCACTGATGCATTTGGAGACAGCTGGAGAGGTCGCTACCAACCAGGTACTGCAAATTCACAAGTCCATTGCCAGTGCTAAGTCCATTGCTATTTGTTTATTTTATTTTGCTCTTATTGTGCTGCTGGATTGGTTAATTGCTGTTGTACTTTGTTTATTTATTCTTGTGTTGATTCTGAATACATGTAACTGCAATGGGTATTCAAGAATTGCAAGATTTTCACAAAGAAAGTTAGTGTTTTGAGTTGGCTGTTATGAAAATGCAGATTTGGATGGGATTAACACAGCTGTTTAATTCCCAGTTATATTTTTTCTTACAATAGACACTGCAGATGGACAAACTACCTCACCACAGCCCCCATCATTTACATTACCCAGAACCTTAGACCAAATGTCCTCATCCGCTTCCCCTTCCCAGAGGCCTTCCTCTGGTCAGACCCAGACCCTGGATCGCTCTCAGTCTGCCCCGGCCGCTATGGAGCAGGCCTCAGCAACAGGGCAGTGCCTGGACCAACCTGGCAACCTGGAGCTTCCTTGGCCTTTGTCCACAGCAGATGATGCTGGTTCCACATCTGATCAGGTCCACCCTCACCCTCTGCCTCTCCATAGCGACTCCAAAGTGCCCCCTGAACCCAGTCCCTCAACAGATGTCCTCCCTACATGTACCCCTCATGCAGGCACGACTATACTATCCCACTATCCAGAGGATGAGGGACTTTCTACAGCCACAGCAAGTGGTGTTGAATCATCTGAGGTAGTGAATGGCTCCATGGTCTCCCACCCAGAGGAACTCTCCCCTGTTCAACCCATGGAACAGGAGACGACAGAGTCTATCGCAGCTGATAGCACAGGAGCCTGTCCGAGTGCTCCCAGCAAGCCTGACTCTGTTGAAATGGGGGCCCCCGCTAATCCCCCATGGTCTCCCACCCAGATGTACTCTCCCCTGTTCAACCCATGGAACAGGAGACGACAGAGTCTATCGCAGCTGATAGCACAGGAGCCTGTCCGAGTGCTCCCAGCAAGCCTGACTCTGTTGAAATGGGGTCCCCGGCTACTCTCCACGGTGTAGTGAACTCTGAGAGGGACCAGCCTGAAGGGGAACACTGCTCCAGCTCTGACAGCATCCCCTCGCTGGCAGCTGCTCTGAAGGAGCTCCACGAGCTGCTGGTATCCAACAGCCGTGCTCAGTCCCAAAGCCGCAGCACGTCGTGCTCCCCCTCACATCCCTTCAGACAAGACACAGATGAAGTGGCCTTTGAGCCATGCACCCCAATGCCTGAAAACACCCAGCCTTCCCCCTCCACTGCCATTACAGCTGGTGCAGAACCAAGCAATGCCAAAGCAAACCATGGTGCTGCTGTGTCTGATGAGGGGCCATCAAAGTGTCTTGTACATGTCCTTTCTGGCCATGATGAGCAATTGGGAAGTGATACAGCAGAGACTGTGGAGGGACAAGGGCCACCACAGCATTCAGATGGCTCGGCAGACAGGAGGGCAGATACATGTGGGCAGGAAGAAACAAATAACATCAGCAGTTCTCAGCCTGAGCCAGAGGCTCCTCCTGATCCTGCAGGGGACCTGGAGTTCAGGGAACCTCCTGAGGGGCAGCAGGGGAGAGGGGTTGCAGTTGGATGTGACTCTGGCACAAACAACCCAGACACTGTTGACCTCCAGACTGAGCACACTTTTCTCAGCCCTTTGTCACTAGCTGTGGGCTCGCCTGTGGAAGTCTCTAACATCTCATCTTCAGCTGTCCCTGCTCTCACTCAGGCTCCCCAGCCTACACCTCCAGCCCCTCTTATCTCTTCCCCACATCCCTTTATTGAACAGTTTCCAGCTGAGCACATCCAGAGAATCCAGGCAGCAGGCTTTTCTGCCAGGGAGGCTGCAGAGGCACTGGAACAAGCCCACGGGATTGTGGAGCTAGCTCTGCTGGCACTATTAGCCCGCAGTATCACTGTGCCCACCTAGACTTGTCATCAGTCATGCGAGTCCCCAGCCTCCCAACTCAGCATCTGTCTTATTTATACCTTGTTACTGATCTCAGTCCCTTTTTAGCAGGGAGCACATATAATAAACAAAGGGACACGCTGTCTCATGGTTTGTCATACAGAATATGGAAGAACAAACAAAACTTTTCTGGATATAACAGATATGAAAGGCATGTTTGCATGCAGATGTTTTGGGTGCCCACCCATCTCACTGGTTTTTAGAGATTTGGTGTGATAGATTGGATTTCTTGTTTTTTTTGTTTTGTTTTGTTTTGTTTTTTTGTTTTTTTTGTTTTGTTTTTTGCTCTGCAACGATATATTAAATCCCCAAAGAACGATTGATTCTTGAACCACAGAACATTGTTATACTTTCCCCTAATGATATCTCATAAAACCATCATTATGTAAGCCTTTAATTTGTGCAATAGAATGGAGTCACCTCACTACAACTTATAGAATTAGCCCCATGTGGTGAGCTTCAGATCATTCAGCACAAACTTGGACATTAAAACCAGTAAGAGAACAAAGCAACATGTTGGTTTTACGTTTTTAGCCCTTTCAGTTTTCAGATCAGACTCCAGTTGTGGTAAAAGCTTAGAAGGGTTGATCATTATTGATCAGGTTTACAAATCGTTTCTACAGATAAGTGGAAACCTCTAAACTAACAGACATTATCATACATAAATATCAACTGAGCGACAAGTGTGCGCATGTTGAAGTATGATCATAGATGGCATTTTTTTGAATACACTTGTGTATTTCCGAAGGTATCTTGTACTGTACGCGTGATTCTCCACAGTTTGAAAGTTTTGCCATGTGCAGATATGTTTAAAAAAAATCATTTGTGTCAAATCATCACCATGTTTATAGCTTAAACATTTTTCATTTTTGTTATGTTAGAATACAACCACTCACAGCTGTCAGATGTTTAGTCAGTATGTCATATATCAAGGATTTTAATGGCTTTATTTCAGTCATATATCACCAATGTTCAGGCAGATTGAATTATTTACTTTTATCTTGTATGAAATTTTAAATTGCAAATAAAATTGAACTAGTATTTGTTTTCTATGTGAGTCGTAAGTCTTTTTTTATGCAAGTCATAATTCAAAATGCCACAACGTTTGATGGTACCAGCTATTCCAATCTGATGATTTGTTAATTTTCCTCAGAAAAATGAATAACTGATTTTTTTTTTTTTTTTAAATCGGGACTCCAGGAAAGTGTGATGGGCATTTTTCGGTATGTTCAGATTTTTTAGACAATTAATTGCATATATATTAGTGATGAAGATAACGGTTTGTTGCAGCCTTAATGTCACCTTTCTGTCATAGAAGAAACTAATTCAGCATTTCCCTCCTTTTTTTGACACTTTTTCACAACAGAAACTCAGTACAAGCCTGAGGCTGTGGGCCCATTCCACTGGGCCTAGTGGTGTAGTCACATTTAATATTGAACATAACGCATTTTGAACTCAAATTTTTATTATTGCTGGGCATCACTATAAGAAATGTATTAACATTCCTGTCTCTGCTTTCCCCGTATCACTTTCTCATTATGATTTCACCTCCTTCGTGCCACCACAAGAGAAGAGGGAAACATAAAATTTAAACACAGTAGGCTGGCCTCTGCTTATGGCTTCAAATTCCTTATCTGTATCATTATTAGAGGCCAGTGCAGAATCTTGAGATGTGTGTTCCTGTAACAGTGACCTTTCTGAAACCTTGGGTAAATCCCAATTGCCTTAATTAATCATTCTTAGAACCTCGGTCAACCCGGAAGTCATTCCAGTCTGGCATGGATCGAAGATGCCTTAAAGGACTATTTGCGTGTTTCCTCGATGTCTCTCTCCTCACAACTGACCTTGCATCCTTTCCTTGCATTATGTGGGTGGGGCAAGGCAAGCAAGTGAGGAAAATGTGGATGCAATTGAGAACATTGGGATTTACTTGTGTGAGCCAGTGTCAGAAAAATCACACCTGGTTCTAGTTGTTGTGATTGCTGCTAAAAACTCAAGACTTCAACTGAGCCCATTTAAATGACTCAGAGGAGCAGAGGAAGGATGTTGCAGTAGAATAGCTGGTTCAGAATTGTACTTTGGGTAGAATTTTAAAATAAAAGTGTTAGGGCAGTGTTGTGTGGGAGTATTGCTCCAGGTTAAAATGGCTCAGTTTGACTGCAGCAAAGAGAACAGCCCCAGTTTTTGCCGTAGCGTTGTCACTAATCTTTACTTGGCAAGAAGTCATCATGAGAATAATTTGCTCTCACAAAGTCCAACCACAGAGACAACAGAGCAGGGTTCATTGGGGTTTTCTCTCCTGCAAAACAGCATTGCACAGAACTCTGGAGTCCATGAAGAGAGCAGTTCCTCCATAAACCAGCCTGGGGATTGCAGGTAAAACCACATGGTTAACTTTTTTTGTTTTGTTTTTTTTAAACACAGGATTATAGCAGTAAGATATTTGTCCTGTTCTAGGCCTCCCAGAGACATAGCTTCAGCCATCAGGTCACTGGCTTCGAAGGGCACTTTGGATGTGGGGAGAATGCACTCGATGCCCAAGTTAACCTCATCGTCCAGGCTTGAGGAAAAAAATCCACCCTTGTCTCCATTAGATGATCAGGATTTAAGTGTAGAGGGGTAAGAAGAGCTACGTGTTTCTACTTTAGCACAAGATTTTCTTTTAAGTTAATTGTGTCTTGCTTATTCAACCCAGGGGAGCAGATCCAGTTGAGGAGGAAGTGCCGACTGTATCATTCCAGTCAAAGTACTTTCATTTTTGTAAGTATTCTCCTTTGGGCTTGTCATTCACTAAATATTGTAGCATTTAGATCAGTGTAAAGAGCCTTGTTTCTCTTTTTCCCTTTGCTTTGCAGTCCCACTGTATCAAGACTACTGTCTGCAGGCAATGAAAGTTGATCTACGCAGACTTAACACAAGTTTTGTGACTGAGCTGATATCACCCCAGTATCTGCAGTCCTGCCTTAGCCCTCATTTCCATTTTGATACTCCATCCTTTCAGCTAACGTCTCCTGAAGCAACTTTATCATCGCCTCCACCTCAGCCTATCAGGGTAACTCCATGTACCCTCTGGCAAAATCTAGATGAGGTGAAGGCATCTGGGATCCTGAGCAGATTGACCCCCAAAGAGATCCGCCTTCAGGAGGTAGAATGCTTTACACTTCAGACATGATGGTTGATGCACTGCAGTCAACAAAGCCGTGTTATCTAATTTGAAACCAAGTGACGTATTACACCTACAATAGCAGTAGTGTTGGCATGAAATGTTCATATTAATCTCCCAAGTACAGTTTTATAGGCTGTACTTGTGTATTAAAGGACAAGTCTGTTTGTATTATATATGTGTGGGTTTTAATCTTCAGCAAATCCCACGACAAGACTTGGTTTCCTCGTGCTTTCTGATGTTAATGCTCTGTCTGGCGCATTCAACCTGTGCATCCATTTGATCCCATAAAAAGCAGTTGTGGGTCAAGGAGGAAAAAAAAAAAAGTAAAAATCTTTGTTCTGTCTCATTTTGTTCTTCTGAAGGCTATGTTTGAGTTGATCGGCTCAGAGGCATCGTACTTGAGAAGTCTTGAGGTTGCCATCAGTCATTTCTATGCATCGAAGGCACTGAAACAGACCTTGTCTCAAAGGGAGCATCACACTTTGTTCTCTAACATCAGTTATGTGATGGCAGCCAGTGAAAAGTGAGGGATTTACCTATATTCCAAATGTGTTGTAGACCTGATGTTTCTGCTGAGCTGCTACCCTGTCTCTTCCAGGTTTTTCAGGGATCTGGAAATGCGACTGGCAGAAAGTGTGCTAATATCTCAAGTTGGAGACATCGTGCTGCAGCACTGCCCAAAGTTTCACCCTCTGTATGTGCCATATGTGACTAATATGATGTACCAGGAGGCCCTTCTCAAACAGCTGCTGTAAGTGTCTGTTCTCTACTTCATAACCTCACACCACGACACCTCAAACCATACTGTCACATATCTTTTTCAAGGCAGCAGAACCGAGACTTTGTGTGCTCACTCAAGAAACTTGAGAAAGACCCAGTGTGTCAAAGACAGAGCCTGAAGTCATTCCTTGTCCTTCCGTTCCAGAGAATAACTCGTATTAAGCTTCTATTGGAGGTAGGCGTCTTTTGTGGAGTTGAAGTTTTTATGTGGAAGCCAGCTAAAGGTTTTGTTTTCATTTCAGGGCATCCTGAAACTGACTGAATCGGACTTGGTTTCAAATCTTGAAAAGGCAATAGAAGCAGTTCACAAGGTAATGCTGTTTACCTTCAACTATTCATACCTGTGCATTCATGTTGAGACAGATTGCATTATTTCCCACTCATCAGATTGTGACTGAATGTGACAAAGGAGTCCAAAAGATGAAACAAATGGAGGAGCTGGTCTGCCTGAAAATGCTGCTGGATTTCAGCAAAGTTAAGGTGGCAACTTTTTATTTTCCCCCTCACTAAGATTTTAATGCAGACTTGTCTGTTATGTAACCACCACATGGCAGAAAATTCTAACAGACTGCCTCCTCATCCAGTCAGTCCCTCTGGTCGTAAGCGGGCGATTTCTGGTGCACCAGGGGCCCATGAGACAGCTGACTGCGGAGAGCACTTCCAACTCCAGAATGTCATCTATTGGTGTCTACCTCCACCTCTTCAATGACCTCTTGATCATCTCCACAAAAAAGTATCTGACATGTACTTGATTACTGCAAAATGAGACGATTGCTATCTTTACTTTCAAAAAGCAATGCTAGATTTTCTAATAAGTAATCAAGCTGCTTCTGCAGTCTGACAAGCTGAAAGACAATGTTCTAACTTGTTCTGTCTCATATTCAGGGATCAGCGGTTCAAAGTTGTGGATCATGCTGAATTCCCCAAACATGTGCACACTGAGCAGCTGAAGACTGGAGTCCTGGGCCTGCCTCCTGACTCCTTCCTGCTACGCCTCTCTCAAAGTCAGACGGGACATCCAACTGCTGTGATACTTGCTCCATATACAAGGTAAAAGCAGACGTCTAAATTGTAATGGCTGCTAGTAAAGCCCCTTTAGCAGCTAGTCTGACTGCTGTTTTTGTTTTTAATTGTAGGTCAGATAAAGAGACATGGATGAAAGCACTGTCCTGTAAACAGTGATGGGAGCTTGATGTTTTAACTTGCACGTTAATGTATGCATTTTGATATTTCAACTTTGTTAACTTGTTCACCCTTAAGACGTGTAACTTGACTACACTTGATGTTCTTGGTCATGGCAATATATGACACACAAAGCACTGAACTAAGCACAAACACAGCAAGTAAGGGGATATGTTTTATTGATGGGCAATAACTTTTTATCTTGTATTAAATACTGGCTTTTTAAACAGCATGTCTTATTTTCTGCCCTTATCACATCAGCCTCATGCAACAAACTAAGAGAAGGTGGTATTAAAATAACAGGCCCTGAGCTACTCCACTTTAAAATACTGAAACCTATACCTCTAAACTGACTTTTTTTGTGTTTTTTTTTTTTTTTTTTGGAGTACTGGTGCTTTCAGATAATAAGCACCCAAGACGGAACACAATACTGTTGGCACAGGCACATGACAATACTAAAGGAATTTTAAAGCAGCACGCTGATTAAATGCTCCTACAAAAATCCTTTAATTCAGTCCCATCCACCATATTTTGACGTGGTCTTCATCAAATACTTTGAACTTGTAATCAAACCTGAAATGTGCATCAATATCAGACTGGCATACATTAATGTATCATATGCAGGTGATTATGGTTTCTTTAATACTGTGAACTGAAATATTTAGGTATGATAAATTAAATCATTTGGTTTGTTGCTGTGGGAGGAGTTTCACACCTGGTGCTGTTTTATTTATATATAAAAATGTATTGGTCTGAAAGTACTTGTAGAGGTTTGGCCTAAATAAAAGGATTTTTGTGGGAGCGTGCAGGCTTCGGTTCCTCCTCTTATGCAATACTTTTTCAGAGTCTTTAAGACTGAACTGATGGCATTTTAACTTTATCCAATTTAATACAACCACATGGTCTGGTCTAACATCCTGATATTGCTAAATCACCCCACTACCAGAAGACGGGAGTTTAAGGAAGTCTGTCTTATAGCATTTGAAAGTCAATTTCACCAGCAGCCACCTCCAGCTAATGCTTCTTAGCCCAGACCAGCTGCTCAATGCAGACACCCTGGGGTGACCTCTGCTGGAGTCTCCTTGAAATGTGCTCTTTCATGTTCAGCGTTAAACTAGAGTCACTGCCTCCTGCTGTGAGTGGTGGCTGGCCAATGCGGCTGCAAGGCAGTCCTGATGCCACAACTGCTCTGCCAGGCAGTTGAGGAGGGGGGCGACATCACCCAGCCTGTCGCTGACCTCACCACCCATACGCAGCACAGGCAAGCGCTCTCTCTCCTGGAAGTCCTTCACGTCTCTCTCTGCCACATCATGGTGCATGAAGAGATCAAATCTCAATCCAACATTAAGGACCAATACTTCATTATTTTTTTTATTTTTTTTTAATGGAGCTGGTACTCATTTGCGAAGTGATGAGCAGGTTTAATCTACATATTCTTACTTTTGAGGCCCCCCCCAAGAGGTGACAGAATTTTGTCATTATGTATACTGAATGAATTGGTGGCAAAACTTTTTGATTTGATTGAACTTTAATACACACAGAGGGGCTCAGGGTAGTGTTTACTTAAATGTTGGTTGGAGATTCAGAGTAATACCTTGGCTGAACACAAAAGGATACTTGGTGCCAACTACCAGTTTCACAACACGACCCACAGCTGGCTCAGTCCACTTAGCAATTTGATTTGACAAATCATCAAAGGATGTCCTATCGGTGAAGGAGAACAGGAAGAGAACAGCATCCACCTGCTCCTTACAGGCCTGAGAAAGAAGGAACAGCGATAAATAGTGTGATGTTTGTTCTTGAACAATGTGAGCGTGGTTCTTTTGTTCACATTAGTTTATCACAACGAGTTAATTCTTGAAAATGTAGTCCATACATACTGGAAGCAAATGGTCAAATCTACGCAAGGCGTTCTCTCCACAGTCCCACAGCTGCAGACGAAAGAAAAGCACTCTGCCACTTTCTCTCAGCTTTACTGGCCAATACACCACTGTCGTCTCAATACCTTTAATGGACGAAGACATTATTTTTATGACCATTTAAAAACTTTAATGCTTTTAGTCCTATAATTAAACCTTCAGCTGAATAACTATGATTCATTCAGGGACCTACCTGTAGTATCATAGTGCATGTTAGGAATATTTTGCCCTGCAAGACGTGCAGCAAGGGATGTTTTTCCAACCCCACTTTTTCCTGAAATGAAGATCTTGTAATGAACTGTGTCCACAGCTAGATGTGGAGGCATCACTGGAGACTCCAGTAGGCCTGTTTTAAAAAAAAAAAAGAAAAAAAGTTTTACACAAATCATCTGCATTTCAGTCAGTACTATGCTTAGTTGCAGATTCTTATACTTTTCTTTATTTAGCTGTCTTTTAAAATCTCAGAAGTTTTACTACCAGGAAGTTATTGAACCAACAGCAGAGCTGATGAAAGTCAGTCTTCCCATATACAGGGTTGTTGTATCACACGGAATAATCAACCATTAAGCCTTTTTTGGCTTCGAAAATAGTCTCTGGTTAAAGAATCTACTGTATTTGCATGCAAACATTTTTAATGAAAGCTTGTATATTGCAGGGTTTATCAACCTTTTCTGTTGAGTAAAAAAGTTCAATATATATAGTATCACCGAAATGTGCAAAATGTATAAAGGACATTAAAAACAAAATACTGCACTCAAAATTGTACTAAAGTAGGCTACAGTACTTGAGTAAATGTACTTGGGTATATTACACCACAGTATAAATTAGGTTGTATAGTAATTTAGAAAACAAACAGCGGAAGTCGTACCAAAAGGATAGGGTTATTTGCATACCGAAGTTTTTGCGTCTTTTCCGGTGAAGAATCTTGCTGAAATATTCTTTGCTGTCTTTACATCGATGCCAGTCAGCCACTATGATTGATCCAGGAGAGGGAACTGGTGCCATGTTGTTGAAGCTAACTAGGGGAACAGAATCTAACAGAGGTCCGTTTGGTCCAAGCCAGTCGGGTTCTTGTAGCAGCAGTAGACGGCGTTTGAAAGTGCTGTTAGTATCAACATATTATAGCCAGTTTTGCCGAACATAACGCGTTTTATTAACAGCAGTCTTTCTCGGTAAATCTTATTTTCAGTCCTAAAACTGCAACCATCTGATAACTTCCGTAAATAAAAACCTTCCTTAACAACCGCTGTCGTCACTTCCTTAATTTTTTTGTTGCGTTGCCTTCAGGTTCTTCAAAAATAAGTCGAACAACGGACTCAATACCCATGTGAATACAGTAGTCTCTGAGAATTGCGAAAATACAGCGATAAGTGATTTTTTTGTAACCATTTGAACCATCGCCAGTTAGCTAATTACCTTTTATAGAAACAAATGGTCCCCTCTACGCCAAATGTATGCACGAGAGGTATACATGTATAGCATCAGACATGCTATTACAACGTCACTTGATCCATGAATAAATGTTGTGTGAATTTATTTCACCGTTTGTTTACAGTTTCCTTTGCCATACGCTCCTGTTTGGCCTTAAATGTCGCGTTGAGGTAACAATAGTATCACAGAAAATTACACTTAAAAATATAGAGCTTGTCATATTTCCGAGAGTACTCGAATGATGCATTGATTCTTCTGTCCGCAGCTAGAGGTCACTAAACTCTAGTGTTTCAAATGCGTGTCACTGGCTGGTGTAGTGCTGATATTACGTATGGAAAAATCATTAACGAAGTCGAGACGAATTTGTATTTTATTTGAAATGCAGAGAGAAAATAAGGGAAGATTATGCACTAAACGCCATGTGAGCTCTGACAGTCCTTCCAAAACAGCATCTGTGCTGTTTTGTAGTTAATATTACAGTGTTCTTCTTCTGGCTGGCTGCATATTTCACTTTCTCAGCATGGACCTCTAGCAGGTTGTTCAAGGATGTGATGATAACCTCCTCTGGAGAAAAGTTATTCACATTAACGCTAAACTTGGATATGTTTCCAGTGACCTGGACATTCCCTGCAGGATATGAATGGCCTAAAATCACAACATGTAAGTCTACTTACTGATATGACCAAGTCACATTTTGAATGTAGGACACAGATGAAATAGCAAATCTTTGTTGTTTTTTTGTTTTTTGTCTGACCTGTAAATTCGTGTTGTCTACTTGCCTGGTGAAATAAGAATCCTGAATCTTCAGAGGAAATACCTCGACCTTTCTCCATACAGTCTGACAAAGTGAATTGTCTTTTGTATCTGTTGTTTTGATGAATACAGTCCAACAGGAGTAGTTCTAAGCCAATGAATTCTGCCTTCTCTCTGATAGACTTGCCTTTTATAGGCTATTGGAAGCTTGTGGGAGGTGGTTGTGTTCTTGAATGACTTGGCTGGACTGGAACATGACACAGATTATAGATATTTTGAACTGTTAATTCCTAGCCACACCCTCACTGGGAGTACAGTATACGAGTCTTTTGTGTCTGTGTGAAAGCGGGCGTGGAGATGTATAAGTTACAATTATCAGGTGTGATATTGAATGAGCGGTCATTGTCTACTGTAAGCCAAGAAAATGTAACAATATGACACAATGGAGTAGCTTTTAGAAAAGATTTACAATGTTTGGGGGTTTTTAATGTGGTTTTTCACAAAAATGGCACTTGGGCGAGTGGCGGTGGTATGACGGAGCCCAGCGGTGAGTAGGTGTGAAATTCTGCTCCACCTTGGCAAAGTCACAGAGGTTGATCAACTCCATCTGGATGGCAGGCACCACCAAAACAAACTTTGTGAGGCTGTACTGCTAATGGTAAAGAAAACCGTTAGAAAGATGAAAGCTGAGGTTTAAAACTTGTTAGGATGGTGTCAGAATAAAGGTCATTGGTCAGATTGTATCAAAGTTTTGTTGTGATCACAAAAGTGTTGAGATCAATAAGCTGGAGAGATGTAAGAAATACAGTCCACATTTTTCTGAACCTTTCTGCAGTCAGTGTTTATAATATGTATGGGTTGTCCATTCTGTACAGTTTAAACGGTATTTAACCACAGTTATTTTAGTTTGCCCTGTTAGCTTTTTAATATTGGCTAAAAAGCACAATGTGAAGCTGATGGAGAGTGTTTAAGTTTAAAGGTAATTCGTGTTGCATTAAAATTTCTATTTGACCAATACAATACTTGCACTAGATGGAGAAACTAAGGGATGTACAAATTTCATGAAGACCGCCTGCATCCAGTAGTTGTGGTGGTGACATTTCAATCTAACTACAGATGGGGGGGGGGGCGGGGGGGCCAATCTGGTCACTGTAACAACTGCCTGGGAAACAGGCACCAGATCTGGATTATTTCTCATGTAACAAATGACATAAATAGGAAATAAATATTAAATAAGACTGGACAGTTGTACTAAAACATGATGTAAACAAACAAATGATTCGAGGGAAAATGCATGATGTGACTAACTACAAAGCATAAAGTGTGTAATTTGCCCTGAGTTGAATAATTATTCCAAGTCTAAAATTAAGTCTTGCTGAAGAGTGTTGTGAAACAAACTGCCTTAAGGATCCAGAGACGCTGGCAGGATGAGGCGTGCACTTGTAAAGAGCCTTAAATCTTTCAGTCATTCAGTGAATACAAAGCCAAGCGCTCTCACATATTCTCACATTTTGCTCTTATAACTGTTTTATATACAACATGGCATGACTTGTTTATGTTCACCATATAAAATATTTTACAAAAAGATAAATTATTCCTCTTCGTTTATCATAAAGTACATGAATGTTTTAGACCTCAGTCCTCTGAGTGGCGTGGAGGGTCCACTTCAGTCAGGCCACAGTGTGCCAAAGGAAAAAAAAAACTGCAGTGTAGCTCAGTTTCACCCCCCTAATTCAGTCCTCCATGTCCGTGAGTGAAATGGCATGGTCGGTCAGTGCACTTTGATTTGGAGGAATGCTTAGATCACACTGCAAACACGCTGAGGGAGCTGGTCTCGTCTTTCAGGCCCATGATGCTGTAAACTATCCTCTTCATATGGCCGGGCAACCGCACTCCAATATTCCTAATGTCTCTGAAAAGAAAAGATAAATGATAGTGAGTGTCCTAAAACCATCTGGACTCTGTTTTGGATAAAGAGGCCACAGTGGTTCTGTAGAGCAGTACCAACCGAGAGTACTTGTACCCCCAGAAATATTGTGAAGTTATTCATAAAGCAAGTAGCTGCATGCATGGTGAAAATAGGCTGCTATAAGGAATAAATAAGCAGTTCAAATAGTAAGCTAGTTAACTGTAAAAGATGAGTGAAACTAAAAACTTAATGGATAAACAGTTGAAAAGTTGAAATGAATTAAAGTAAATGATAAATTCTAGAAACAGAATGGCGGAAATATCTGTGCTTCTGCCCCTCCAAGTAAAAATAGTACGAACTGACCTAAATGCTGACCATTCAACTGTATGAATTACTGCAGAGCTGGTTGGGATTATGACAGGATAGAATGAGAGGAATGACACAGGTCGAGGCAGAGTATTCCTGCCTCGCAAATTGGATCACAGGTGTTCAAGCTGAGAGCTCAATATTTCCTGTGTTACTTCAAAATGTGGCTTGGTGCCAGATCAGTGCAGTGTGACAGAGGTGCAACTGTGCCATGTGTGCACTTACTCATGCCTCAAGGCAAGCACCTGCTCCATGGTCGTGATCCCTGCGCGAGCGAAGCTTTCCTTGTACTGGCTCATTTTGATGGATTCCAGCCACTCGGGCACTGACCTGAACATGGTGCCGTCACAACCACTGGTGCTGGGCAGGCGGATAGACAGGCTGCAAGGAACAATGTATACTTAGATTACTCATCGTTTACTACTACTTTATGTACACCAAGTATGTGTGATGACATTTAAACAGATTGGATAGTTACAAAATATTGTTCTGTAACTTCTACTTTTCTGAAGGAAAATTCCAAGACTAATGATTCTCTAGGTATAAAACACTTCATTTATTGTATGGATTAATCAAATATGTATAACGTGTTAATATATACATTTCACACATAAGCATACATGAGTACTGTCTATATTACTGGTGAAGACGGTTGCAACAGGATTGTGCTTATGTGATAATTTTTACAATTTTTTGTCTGGTTAAATTTGTTACCAAAACAAACTGCAAGAAAATAAATGTTCATACTGTGGGTCAAAATCGGCTATCGTTTTTAAAGTCTCTGGACTTCGGAGCAGTTTGTCCAAAATGTTGACGATGTCTGAGAAGCGAGGTCTTGTTGCGCGGTCGTGCTGCCAACACTGGAGCATGAGCTGGTAGAGGGCGGACGGGCAGTCCATTGGAGCAGGAAGCCTGAAGGCCTCGTTGATAGCCTTCATGACCTAAGGAAGACACCAGGAAAGAGGTGAAGCCAGCGCTTAGACTTGATGTATGTTTACAGCTGCAGTGACGAAGTTTGAACAGGCAGCAGTCCAAAAAATTATGTGTTCATAATTTGACGCTGGCAGTAAATTTAAAGAGGCTGATGGGGAAACTACACTGCATGTCAGGCCGTTTTCTAACATCACCTACCTAGCACAGTGGTGATAGACATTAAAGTTCTTAGCCATAAGAACCAGAAAGAGGATGTGACAGATGAAATGTACCTCATGGTTGCTCATGTCCCAGTAGGGCCGTTCTCCAAAGGCCATGACTTCCCACATGACGATGCCAAAGCTCCACACGTCGCTGGCTGAAGTGAATTTCCTGTAGGCGATAGCCTCGGGGGCAGTCCAGCGGATGGGGATTTTACCTCCCTGACAGAAGAGAAACATTAACAAATCCTATTTAATAGGTGGAGGGAGTGGAAATACAATGTAGCAAAAGACCAGCACTTTAGATTGGACACCTGAGAGCAAGCTTACAGCTAACAGTCTGACACTGGTTACTAGAAAAACAATACAGGTTGTTCTCTGTTGCTGTGCTTTTAGGCTGTGAAATGAT